CACTGCTTTGACACACACACACTTTCTCTCCTCATCAGCGCCGCCGCGACCGCAGCATTGCACAGTAGCAGCGTGTCGAGCTGCAGGAGTGTGTTCTCAGGAAGTGTGTGTCGTGTACTGTAACCTGAGCGTGGGTGTTCAGATACAACGGGTCTCCCCAAAAACAACATCAAGGGAACCCCGGCTTACGGGACGGCTAACAAAAGCTGAAAACCCAGCCTGAGGACACTGACATCTGCTCGGAGAGACACAGATCGATCTCTGCTTCTCTCTGTGTGTGTAGAGCTGACAGATGAGTGTTTGAGATGCTGCACCACACGTGAATGGTTCCTCAAATCATGTGTGTTGTTTGAGGAGAGGAGTTCTGCTGCTTTACTAAGCATAATACAGGTAGAAAAAAATCCTACAAGACCTGAGTCAGATCTAGAGACCAGAAGATCACAGAGATGCAATGGTGCAGGACCTGTAAAAAAAAAACCTCTTGCAAACACCCCAGCTGACAGGAAACGTTCTGGCAAGGTTCTCTCAAAGTTATGAACAAACATTAATAGAGCGTTTGTTCAAAGTCATGTAGTTCTTAACATTATTTGAACATTGTGCAACATTTGGAACCTTTTTTCTAAAACATTTTTTTTAAATGTTACTTACGTTAGAAAACATTCCAAAGTAAAGGAAGCGTTCTCAGAATGTTCTCGCAATGTTTTCTGAAAGTTGTAATATTGTTAATAGAATGTTCATTCAAAGTTATCTGGTCTTTAATGTTCTCAAAACGTTAGCACAAAATCGTTATTTATGCATTGTGCATGGAAATTTTTTTCTAAAATGCTTTAGTTGGATGTTAATCTAACGGTTTTTTAAATGTTACTAATTTTAGAAAACATTCAAATGTAACTCAGCAGACGGGGAACGTTCTCAGAATGTTCTCTTAAAGTTACGAACAAACGTTCTTCCAGTAACGTTAAAAGAACGTTCATACAAAGTTATCTGTTAATACTGTTCTGAAAACGTTAGCACAACGTTAACATTATTTATACATTGTTCATGGAACTTTTTGTCTGAAACGTCAGTTGGAAGTTTATGTAACGTTTTCTAAATGTTACTCTTTGTTTCGGAATGTTCCGAAGACATTCAAATGTAACGTTCCCATAATCTTTGCAAACCGATACAATGGAATGTTCCCATAATGTCCGTACAACCAAATAAAAACGTTTTGAAAACTTTTTTTTTAAAATGGGAATATTAGCAAAATGTTATTAGAAATGTTTGTGTTAGCTGAGAATATTCCTATAATGTTTGCAAAATGATCAAATGAAATGTTCCACTGATGTTCGTACTGTATAATCAAGAAAAGCATTTTTAAAACGTACGTTCAGAGAACATTCAGAAATAACATTTTCATAACTTAAAGTGAACATTTGCACAACGTTCTTAGAACGTATTTTTGTTAGCTGGACACCAGTGTGTTTTGCTCACTTTCATCAGGAAATGCAAAAACCTGTTTGCTTTTTCATTAGTACCTTAAAAAAAATCCCTCCCAACCTGCGGGACGAGGATGCATGCGATGTCTTGAGAAATATCTGCAAGTGTCAAAGGAAGCAGTACATGTGTGTGAACTAGAGCAAGAAAAAGCCCCTTTGAAGTTGTTTGCACGGTGGTCTCGCTGCATGTGTGTGTTATATATATGTGTGTGTGTGTGTGTGCTGTCCCTGTCGATGCTGGTTAGTTTTTCTTGAGAAACATAAACCACGAGCCCAGAGACACGACTGCCAGTGTATCATCAAAGACGAGATTCGCTAGAAGCAGGTGCAGAATCATCCCACAACGTTAACACTGTCGGCTCTGATAACAAACACACCTCACCACACCTGACGAATCCTAATCCACTCTGTTTACTTCACACTTGCACTCAGGAATATGTCGACTTATAGAAGTAAAATATGGTTTCATAAAGACTGCACTGCAAACAAGTGGAATGCATTGATACCGTGAGTGAAGCTGGCAGCGCTGGGCTCTCTCAGATGTGTTTAGGCAGTCGAGGGTTTGATCTGGGTCACATGAACGCTGCTTTCCTGTTCGCAGTAAGTGTGGTTGAGGGTTTCAGGGTGGAAAGCCCACTACTGTGATATGACTTTGCACTCTCAGGTGCACAAATACCTGTCTGTCAGACTTCCTTTCAGCAATATGATGTCTATACAAAATTAATCACATTTGGGTTTAAAAGACCATTAATATTCTGTAATATTAGCGATTTGACTGTCAGATCAGAACAAAACAAAACTGAATTGAGCTGAATGTTTCATAATTGATGAACTTTGCAACACTGACACTGAACTGAATCAACAATGAATCTGAATTGAGCTGAATTATGACACTATTGGTTTCTGTAGAGTCAAATTTGTTTTTCGTACTTGATGAACTTTGTATCATCCATTCAACACTGTTATTGAACTGAATTGAGCTGAATAATGACATTGTTGTCTTCCGTAGAGCTTCTTTACAGCTGAAATTTAATTTCATGAATGATACATTTTTGGATTTTCCTGTTTATTTCTGTGAAGCAGCTTTGAAACAATCTGTATTGTATGAAATGATCATTATATGTGACTTGACTTGACATTTGCATATTATACACTCTAAAAAATGCTGGGTTGTTTCAACCCAATGTTGGGTCAAATATGGACTAACCCAACTGTTGAGTTAAAAAGCTAATTTAAAAATGTAACCAAAATGTAACCCAACATTGGGTTGAAAGAACCCAGCATTTTTTAGAGTGTAAGACCAACATAGCCATGCATTTTTCTGTGCTAAAGTCATGAGGTAAAAGAAAAGAAATCCTGCTTCTCGTTTAATTATTTTCTTATGAAAATGCTTTTTTTTTTCTTCCAGAGATGCTGCTTTGGTAGTCATTTGCAAAATATATTTTGCAATATGCAACACATATCTGAATGCTTTTTACTTATATAGACCTGAGCTCTTTTCAGCTTTTGTCTTCTCCAGATGTTAACTGATGGACTGGAGTGCTGTGGATTATTGTGATGTTTTTATCAGCTGTTTGGACTCTCATTCTGACGGCACCCATTCACTGCAGAGCATCCATTGCATCCATTCACTTGTTTAATGCATGTTGCACACAGAGAAAAACGTGATTTTAGAAATGCAGCATTATTAAGGACCTTCTGAATGACATTCTTCTGACAGGTGTGTTTATTATCATCTCAAGGATTGTGGAATTCTATTTTAATTGGTCTTTTTTTGTTGTTGCAATCTTCAGTCCATTCATGTCCTGCACAGCTGCCACAGTCTGTCTCCAGATATCATAGGACCGTCTCATCATGTGTGTCTTGTGTGTTTTGACCCTTATCTGTTGTAATGTTCAGCGTATCTCCTCTCTTGTATGTGTCGGTTGTGCGAGGTGCTGGTTGCCATGGTTTCGATGGTATTGGCGGATGCTTTCAGTTAGTTAATCCTGCTCGATGCTCTCCAAACCCTGAGATGAATGCACTTGATGCCAGACGCAGCTGGCCCTGCATTCAGTCCTGCACATTCACGGGCCCATCGACTCAATACAGCAGCTATAGTCAAGCGTGGACGGGGTCTGAGCCACGGCGCCTGCTCATCTCGGCTGAGTAAAGTGAGTATAAACATCAGCACTCATCACAGACCTGGAGATGAAGTTGTGCGAGCAGGGATGTTATTTGTGAAGCGTGCTTGCTTTGGCCAGCACATCATTTGGCTTTGCTATCAGATGCGAAATATGAAACATACAGGTGCATCTCAATAAATTAGAATGTCGTGGAAAAGTTCATTTATTTCATTAATTCAACTCAAATTGTGAAACTCGTGTATTAAATAAATTCAATGCACACAGACTGAAGTAGTTTAAGTCTTTGGTTCTTTTAATTGTGATGATTTTGGCTCACATTTAACAAAAACCCACCAATTCACTATCTCAACAAATTAGAATATGGTGACATGCCAATCAGCTAATCAACTCAAAACACCTGCAAAGGTTTCCTGAGCCTTCAAAATGGCCTCTCAGTTTGGTTCACTAGGCTACACAAGCTTACAGTGGATAATAAAAAGTCAAAAACTGCATAGCAGCGCTCTGGAAATGTTGCATGGGCAAACAGCACTGGCATTTCTTTATAAAATATATATATAAAAAAGTAGTTTAAAATAATGCAATAATATGTTTAGCATGGTATAAATCTATAAATAGAATTTTAATTAAAAAATAATTTATGGCAAAATTATAGAAATATACCATGTTTAGCATGGTATAATTCTATAAATAAAATAATTAAATGAACAAAAATATTTTATTAATAAAATAATAATGAAATCAGTTATAATTTTGAGTGAAAATTGTGAATTTATATTAGCATTTATGAATTGGCATATACTGTATATGCATGTCGCCAATGAACAAATGGTCTGTATTTATCTGTTTCATTTTAGATTAACTTTTTGTCATCGTTTGTCTGTTTTCATTTGGTTTAAAATAATACATTAATATGGTAGGCTATACTTGTATAAATAAAACTAATTAAATGATATGCATAATATTTTATCAAACATAAAACAATAAAAAATAAATAATAATTTTGATTGGAAAAAGTGAATTTATATTACATTAAATTTTTTGTCTTTTTAGCCTGCTTTAATTTGGTTTGAATTAAAAGGCTTAATTTAGTTTACAATAATACATTAATAATGTTTAGTTGGGTATAAATAAAAATAATAAATAAATTACAAATAATATAATAATTATTTACTAAAAATAAAAATAACAAATTTGAGTGAAATATTTGTTAGCATGGTATAATTCTATGAATAAAAATGTAATTACAAATATTAAATTAAATAAATAAAAATTATATTCTGTATATTCTGAATTATTTTATTCATTTAGATTTACATTGAGTTACCGGATGACTGAAACAAAGTATTATAGATTGTCTGGTCACTGGAGAAGACAGCATGATGAAAAGAATGTCTCCTCGGAAGATGAGATGTTACATTTGTAGCGCTCTAAAGAATTAGAATAGAACTTTAGGCAGAGTTACATTTGAGCGCAGTTACATTGTAACAACTCTCGACGCCGACTGTTCGCGTCTCCCGGGAAATAGGAGGCGTTTTGCGCCGTGAATTAGCGGGACCTGAGACGCGGAGGGGGGAAATTGTGTCCCCCCAACTTTTCTGTTTTTCCTCTCGGGCTGAAGCGCGTTTCTCTCCCGCTGGATGCCGCGCGCTTGACGCGAGAACCGGTGAGTATTTACCGCGTTTATCGGGGTTTACACGCGTAAACGTGCATGTTTTTGACTTTTACGCGTCGGGTGTGATTAATGAACTTTTGTTGCACGGGCAAATGTGTGTGAAGTGTTTTGTCTCTTGAGCTTCGGTGTGTGTGTGTGCGGGGTTCGAGTCCAGAGGAAACGGCTTCTTTGTTCAATACTGGCAACAATGTCAAGTTTAAAACCCCCTGTATAGCTCCTTTTACCGCAGTACCTGTGCGTTTACAACTTTGTAGGACATCTACGGCCTCTTTCGCGTGCATATTTGCTGCAATTCGTGAATTTAAAGTTTTTGATGGTTATAACAGACGAAAGTTTGCACTTGGGTTAAAAAAAGTCATCTGCTAAGTTCGTTTGATGTGTTGTGCATTAGTTGTGTTCGGAGTTTCCTGCTAATTGCAGTTCTTCTAATGTCCTGCTCTGTTTATTTGACTTTTCTTGGGAAATAACTGTTCCTTTTTCCACTTTTGGGAATGGCTTTCCCATCTTTTCCTGTCTGGGGGAACTAGTGGAGGTGTTTACATGCTCTTATTATCTCTGTTCTCCCACATGGAGTGTTTCTGGTCGTTGTTGTGTAGTTTTCAAACTTTGTGTCGAGGGCCGTGTGTTTCTTTGTGTTGGAGAGGTTGGGGGTGGGGGGGTCTAGGGTGAACGTGGCCTGAAGTCTTCATGTGTTTCGGCCTGTTGCTGATCATGCTTGTGTTGAGTCCTATGGGTTCTTTTCACCTTTCGGATGTTAGATCTGTAATGCTGCAGTTGTATGTGTTGTAGAAGCTTGAAGTACTGTGGTAATACCATGGTGCAGTGATGCATCAGATGGAGCTTTCATATATATATTATATATATAGTGGTGCTGAATGTTCATGTGGTGTTTACATTGTATTCTTTAAATGATGTAATGGTATTTCCATGCTACAAGTAAACAAATCAATGGAAATGTCATGACATATGTCCAAAACGACTCTAAATGATGGTCATACACTGGTGCCATGTAACACAAATGTCAAAAACAACTATTCCTGTGAAAATACATGCATGCCCATGAACACTATTTTACCCACTGCTTTGACATTTTTATAGCCTAAAATTCCATGGTATTTACATTGTAGTACTTTTTGGGATTTTATGTCCAATGTTATTTACCCTCATGGTATTTCCATGGCGTACACTACTGTTCATAAGTTTAGGTAAAATCGGTACGATTTTTTAAAAGAAATTAATACTTGTATTCATCAAGGCTGCATTAAATGATCAAAAGTAAGAGTAAATAATACATTTATTTATTTCTATTTCAAACAAATGCTGTTCTTTTGAACTTTCTATTCATCGGTGAATCCTGAAAAATAAAGAAGTATCACGTTTCCACAAAAAATATTGGACAGCACAACTGTTTTCAACATTGATAATAATCAGAAATGTCAAAAATCTGCATATTATACACATTATCTTGTGACACTGAAGACTGGAGTAATGATGCTGAAATTTCAGCTGCGCATCACAGAAATATATTACAGCTTAACACATATTCACATAGAGAACAGTTAATAATATTTCACACTATTACTGATTTTAAGTATTTTTGATATTTAAATGCAGCCTTGGTGAGACTTCCTTCAAAAACAGCGCAGTATAATCATACAACATGCTCAAAACAATATCATGCTACATGTCTCAAGCACTTTTTGATATTCTTTTGTCAGTGTAAACTGTGCATCCCAGATGCCAAAGTAAAGCAATTGTTGTGCTGGCTTCATTGCAGTATTTGTGATCTTTATTGTTTCACAGTCTTCTACCTGTTGATCATCAATGGAGGTGCTGATGATGATTCCAGGGAAGGTGTTATTGGCGCAGTGCTGATGACGAAAGTATTTTTGGATAAGGCTTCTCACTTTTCTTGTGTCTGTGTGATGCAGTGCTGATGTTTAATGAGTTGCTTCATGAATTAAGGAAAAGTGTAAAATCACAGCACTTTGTTTTAACTGGTGAACGGTTTGGTTCTGCGTTAGTGACATTTGTCTTCTCAAAGCATGTTATTCAAGTGCAAATGCATGTATTGCATGGAAATTACAACTAAAAGAGTTGCATATAAAAGTTTGCAAAACTAGTATGTGTAGAAATAAACTTGATATTTCATGCTATGGAAATGTTACACATACATTGTTTAATTCCAGGAATCATAGTTGTTTGTGCAACTGACTAGTTCCCGTACTCTAGGTGTGGGTAAGTAAGTGGGTGGTTATTTCTCGAGCGCCTGCAATGGACACTCGCTGGTGGTCTCCTTTGGTGGTTAACCGAGTTCAGATGTGGTGCATTCTGGGAAAACACTCTATTAAAGCAGGTCTGTAATGTAGAGTAGTTCTTCAGATGGAAGCGGCAGCCCGATTATTTTGGATCGTACGCATTCATGTCAGATTTAATTTCTAGACCCAGAGGTTCATAGATGATCTGAAAGTACGTTTGTCCATTATGCATCTTCTTCCCTGCAGGATCATAAACCTGTTTGAGCTGAGAGAGAACGAGGGAGACGTCGAGCGAGAGAAGCAGATCAAGAGCACACAGGACCAGGATGGCGACGGTGGGGAACGACATGGAGCTGAACGACCTGTTGGATTTCAGTGTTGTAAGTCGAAGAGACTGTTCTTCTGTTTTTATTAAAAGACATTCATGGATAGTTGACATCAAATGTTAAGCGGTGTGAAACACAATAAGGTGCAAGAGACTGTGCTGCGTTGTGACTGTGTTGTATGGTAGTCAAAACAAAAAAGGCCGTTGTCAGGCCACACGCGTGTTTTTATTAGGCCTATATTGTACCTTACTGCTTTTTTGCTTCGTATTTGAGACATTATAGACACAAAATGTAAATTAAATGTACTATATATATATAATTGTTTAATGTTTTTGTGTGTGGATATACACCTGTGTTACTTAGATACTATTACCGTATTGGCCCGAATATAAGACGACCCCCCTTTTTCCAGATGTAGCTTTTGGAAAAAGGCTTTTTAAAAACCAAATCTTGTTTTTTTCTCAGTAAAACACATTTTGTCTTCAATTATTTTCATATTGCATATTTTTCCTATTTTAATTTTTGTTTCGAAAGTATGGTAAAAACTGGTAAAATGTACCAACAATCACATTTAAAAAATAAACACTTTTTGATATACCATTAAAAAAACTAAAAAACAGGTAGCCCATCTGAATTAGGACATTTAGGCTATCCATCTAATAGTAGCTTACCAAACTCTTATTAACAGTAGAAGTTAAATCTTACTGTAGTCTTCAAATCTGGGTACTGTCTTACGTTTTAAAATCACAAAGAGTTTGGTCGCATCAGGCTAACGTGACCGTCACGACTCATGCAGCTGTAAGCTTTTCTTTTTCTTTAGTTTTTACTCGCGATCTTTACAACACGCATTACATTACGTATTTCATGGCATACTCGTTTTATGCGTATTTGGCGCCACCTATGGTTGTGGGTGTATTATTGACACGTCAAAGTCTAGACCCTGAATATAAGACGACCGGGTTTTTTCAGAAGTATTTCCAAGAAAAAAACATTGTCTTATATTCGGGTCAATACGGTATAATTTTTATTAATATTTTGAAAAGTTATATATTTTATATTTTCAATTTTAGTTAAAGTTTTAGTAATTTTGATGTGTGTTTTTGCCATTTTTAGTAGTTTCTGATTTTTATATGTCTATGGTATTTATTTTTTTTCAGTTTTTGCTTATTTTAGTACATCATGTAATACTAAATTAAAATGAGAAATGTTGCCTTGCATTTTTTAAAAATATTTTATTTTATTAAGTTAACATTTATCTCGTAATAACCCTGATATACACTTTTCCTTAATTTGTTCACTTTTATTAATTGAATTACTTAATAGATTTAGTAAATAAGCTATTTAATTAAACAACAAAATTGAATTTACACTTAATTTTAACCTGGAAAAAACAAACAAGCGAGAGAAAAAAATATATGTATGTGTATATATGTGTGGAAAAAATTAAATAAAATAAAAAGTTATTTTTCAACTATTATTGATGCAAAAGATCTGTAATATGTATATAATGTATTTTATTATTATTTTGAAGCTATGGTGAGTATTTTCTCAGCTGATATCATTTTTTTCTCTCTTCGGTAGATGTTTCCTCATCCGATGTCGAACGGGAAGAACCGAGGCCCTACTTTACCCAACAGTCAGTTTGGTAGGCACTTTTAAATTTGCTAATTTTAACAACAAACATGACTTTTGTTACTACTACTCTGATTATAGAAACGACTGATTCAGGATACAGAGAATCTGATATAATCTGCAGATGACTTTCACGCTTTTGGAAAATGGATTTTAACATGGTAAATCTAAAAGAGCCTTCTTTCGCTGCACACGTGTCGATGTCGTTAGGGTCCGAGTGTTTGCGAAGCCTGCTTGATCCTCGTCGTTCGGATCCGTCTTGCTCTCGCTGTTTCATGTTCTCAGCTGTCGCCTCTCCATCACGGGGGAGGAGAGCATGATGGGAAATGATAGTCGTCCTCTCACCCCTGCGAACAATGTCAACAAACTTTAAAACAACACGCAAAACAACCCCCTGCCTTCATTAGAGACATTCAGAAATCGCGTTCTTTTGGATGGAAATCCGAGGTTTTTGGGTGAATCTAACCAAACTGAATATGTTCGGGTGACTTTTCACCATTCACAGTTAAACTAAAACAAACTTTTTATTCAGAAGGAACGCTGTTTTATTTTGCAGTGTCACAAATAACTTAAGTAGATGGTATATTTTAGTGGTAAACTGTATAATGCAGAATTGGGCAAATTTTCAATGAATAAATTAAAAATAGGGCTTAATCAATTTGCGATATGGACTAGTGTCTGTAAATATTAAACTGCAAAAGGACTTTTAATGTGAAGTCTGCTCGTTGTGTGTGTCTCGGTCTTCAAGACAACCTGCCAAAATAAAAGTTCAGCTTAACTTGAGGAATTTGTGACGCATTACTGTGAATTGTGAAATATATTATTGTTGTGCAGTAGAATATACTCCTAAAAGTAGTAATAATAATATAAAATAAAATTTAAATTGAATCTATTTAAGGAATATTGAACAATTTTCTCCCATGTTTTAATTTTAACAGTAAAATTCAGTCATACACGTTATTTGCCAAAAAATAAAAGAAATTTTTTAATTATTTAAAAAATGTTTTTTATAAAATATTAAAATGTTTTATGCCTTCATTTGATTATCACTGTTTTTCATTATAAATTTGTATTAAATCATAAATCCAGAAAATAAAAACAGACAACAAAGAATTTCTGAAAAATAATAAATTTCTTAGGGCCATATTGTTGTGAAAAAGAATAAATTAAATTGTTAACGTTTTATGAAATGATTAAACACACTTTTTGATTATTAAAATTGATTAAAACATTAAAACGGAATCGAGAAAAATTAAAATTGTTAAAAACAAAATTTGGGAAAAATTTTATGGAATTTTGGAAAAAATAAAACTGGTTCCATAGGGCCCTAAAAAATTAATTCTTAAAAAAAGTTTAATAGTTCTTAAATTGTATGCATTTTATGATTTCAATTAATTACACATGCTTTTTAATTAGTGAAATTTAATTAAACAATTATAATGGAATCCAGAAAAATTTAAATAGTAAAAACAAATTTGGGGAAAATAAAATAGAAATTTGGAAAAACAATAAAATTATTTCATAGTGCCCTCAAAATGTAATTCTTTTTAAACTTTTAATAGTTCTTAAATTGTATACGTTTTATGATTTCAATTAATTAGACATTGTTTTTGATTACTAAAATGTAACTTAACCATTAAATTGAAAAAGTTGAAAAAATTAAAATGGAAAAACTTGAATTTGGGAAATAATAAATTGGATTTGATAATGCCAAATTCTTATCAATGGTGTCCAATGTTGTTTGGACTCCAGCGTTTCTCAGAATATCTTCTTTTGTGTTTTTCTGATGAAAGTCAGTCATACAGTTACAGAGTAGTGCTGGGTTTTGACACAAATTTCAAGATTCGATTCTCATTCACAAGCTTGCAATTCGATTCAATATAGATTATTTTGGATATGTATCGGGTACAGTACATGCCAAATTTTCTCAAGGAAAAGAAACTCTCAACTAATGCTGAAAAATATACACGAGAGTGAGTTGGTACTACATTATTATAATATTGAAGGTTAAATTTAACTGATTTGTTAAAATTACACTTAATGAAGTTTTTAAAATAAAGTTACAACTACATAATATTTCTACTTCAAATTTATTTAAAAAATTTTTTTTTAAATATGAACATGGTGGCTGTCATAAAATGATGGATTTAATCAAACATAAATTAAACATTGAAGAACAGTCAAATTTATAATGAATGAATGAATGAAAATGCCCCTCTCTACAGTTTATTTTTCTAGCTGACTAATGAGTTTATGGTCACCGAATATGTTTTTCTGAGGTAAATGTGACGTTACGTGACATTGTTTACAAGCCGTTATGCTGTCTTTGCGCAGCTGAAACACTGATTGAGCGATTACTTGAGACGGGATACGGATTGTAAAGTTGTACTCTTTCTTTTAACTTACCTTCGGATGTTTAGTCATGTTTATTTTGTGCTGAAGCTGGTATTAATG